AACCCTTCTTACATGTGTGAAGTATGTAATCCCTTCTTACATGTGTGAACTATGGAATCCTTCTTACCTCTGTGAACCATGGAATCCCTTCTTACATGTGTGAACTACGGAACGCCTTCTCTTCTGTGTGAACCATGTAATCCCTTCTTACATGTGTGAACGATGGAACCTTTCTTCCGCAGATATTTATGGATAATACTATTGAGGGTAAATATATGGTCCGTAGTTGAGTATTCTTCTCGAAATCCCGCTTGGTACTCAGATATTGTTTGAAATGGGGTCTTCAGGTGACTATTAATGAAACTAAAGTAACGGTTTTTAAAAATGGGGAACATTTTTCTAAAAGTGAAAAAAGGTTCGTTAATGGCCAAAAATTGGAGGTGGTATCATATTACAAATATTTAGGCATTGTATTTTCTTGTAGAAATATATTTTCCAGAGCCTGTGAAACATTATCTATGCAGGCTGAACGAGCCCTACATGTCATAAAGAAATTCATATGTAAATATAAAGAATTACCGATCCATGCACCATTTAAACTGTTTGATGGAAAAATTCAACCAATTTTGTTGTACGGTTCTGAAATATGGGGTATTATCAAAAACAAGAATACTGAAAAGGTACATTCAAAGTTCTATAAGTTGTTGTTGCGTGTTGGCTACAGATCTGCGAACAAGGTTATTTTAGCGATAACAACAAGAAAACCACCACAAGCACTAGAAGCATCACCGTAAGATGCAGTAACAAGAACACTACCACAAGCACTAGAAGCATCATCATGTGCAGCATTAACAACAAGAACACAACCACAAGCACTAGAAGCATCACCATGTCCAGCAATAACAACAAGAACACCACCACAAGCACTAGAAGCATCATCATGTGCAGCAATAACAACAAGAACACCACCACAAGCAGTAGAAGCATCATCATGTCAAGCATTAACAACAAGAACACCACCACAAGCACTAGAAGCATCATCATGTGCAGCATTAACAACAAGAACACCACCACAAGCACTAGAAGCATCATCATGTCCAGCATTAACAACAAGAACACCACCACAAGCACTAGAAGCATCATCAGGTGCAGCATTAACAACAAGAACACCACCACAAGCACTAGAAGCATCATCATGTCCAGCATTAACAACAAGAACACCACCACAAGCACTAGAAGCATCATCATGTCCAGCATTAACAACAAGAACACCACCACAAGCACTAGAAGCATCATCATGTCCAGCAGTAACAACAAGAACACCACCACAAGCACTAGAAGCATCATCGTGTCCAGCATTAACAACAAGAACACCACCACAAGCACTAGAAGCATCATCATGGCAGCAATAACAACAAGAACACCACCACAAGCACTAGAAGCATCATCATGTCCAGCATTAACAACAAGAACACCACCACAAGCACTAGAAGCATCATCATGTGCAGCATTAACAACAAGAACACCACCACAAGCACTAGAAGCATCATCGTGTCCAGCATTAACAACAAGAACACCACCACAAGCACTAGAAGCATCATCGTAATCTGCAGTAACAAGAACACTACCACAAGCACTAGAAGCATCATCATGTCCAGCATTAACAACAAGAACACCACCACAAGCACTAGAAGCATCATCGTGTCCAGCATTAACAACAAGAACACCACCACAAGCACTAGAAGCATCATCGTGTTCAGCAATAACAACAAGAACACACCACAAGCACTAGAAGCATCATCGTGTGCAGCATTAACAACAAGAACACCACCACAAGTACTAGAAGCATCATCGTGTCCAGCATTTACAACAAGAACACCACCACAAGCACTAGAAGCATCATCAGGTGCAGCAATAGGAACAGGAACACCACCACAAGTACTAGAAGCGTCATCATGTGCAGCAATAACAACAAGAACACAACCAGAAGCACTAGAAGCATCATCGTAATCTCCGGTAATAACTAGAACACCACCACAAGCACTAGAAGCATCATCATGTCCAGCATTAACAACAAGAACACCACCACGAGCACTAGAAGCATCATCGTGTCCAGCATTAACAACAAGAACACCACCACAAGCACTAGAAGCATCATCGTGTCCAGCATTAACAACAAGAACACCACCACAAGCACTAGAAGCATCACCGTAAGCTGCAGTAACAAGAACACTACGACGAGCACTAGAAGCATCATCATGTGCAGCATTAACAACAAGAACACCACCACAAGCACTAGAAGCATCATCACCCCGAGCACTAGAAGCATCATCATGAGCAGCATTAACAACAAGAACACCACCACAGAAGCACTAGAAGCATCATCATGTGCAGCATTAACAACAAGAACACCACCACAAGCACTAGAAGCATCATCGTGTCCAGCATTAACAACAAGAACACCACCACAAGCACTAGAAGCATCATCATGTCGAGCAGCATTAACAACAAGAACACCACCACAAGCACTAGAAGCATCATCGTGTGCAGCATTAACAACAAGAACACCACCACAAGCACTAGAAGCATCATCGTTTCCAGCATTAACAACAGGAACACACCACAAGCACTAGAAGCATCATCGTAAGCTGCAGTAACAAGAACACTCACCACAAGCACTAGAAGCATCATCATGTGCAGCAATAAGCAAGAACACCACCACAAGCACTAGAAGCATCATCACAGCACAAGAACACCACCACTAGAAGCATCATCATGTCGAGCATTAACAACAAGAACACCACCACAAGCACTAGAAGCATCATCGTGTCGCGCATTAACAACAAGAACACCACCACAAGCACTAGAAGCATCATCGTGTCCAGCATTAACAACAATAACACCACCACAAGCACTAGAAGCATCATCATGTCGAGCATTAACAACAAGAACACCACCACAAGCACTAGAAGCATCATCATGTCCAGCATTAACAACAAGAACACCACCACACTAGAAGCATCATCTGCAGAAGAACACCACCACAAGCACTAGAAGCATCATCGTAAGCTCCGGTAACAACAAGAACACCACCACAAGCACTAGAAGCATCATCATGTCCAGCAGTAACAACAAGAACACCACCACAAGCACTAGAAGCATCATCATGTCCAGCAATAACAACAAGAACACCACCACAAGCACTAGAAGCATCACCGTAAGCTGCAGTAACAAGAACACCACCACAAGCACTAGAAGCATCATCGTGTCCAGCATTAACAACAAGAACACCACCACAAGCACTAGAAGCATCATCATGTCCAGCATTAACAACAAGAACACCACCACAAGCACTAGAAGCATCATCGTAATCTGCAGTAACAAGAACACCACCACAAGCACTAGAAGCATCATCGTGTCCAGCAATAACAAACAAGATCATCAGTGACCACCACAAGCACTAGAAGCATCATCATGTCCAGCATTAACAACAAGAACACCACCACAAGCACTAGAAGCATCATCATGTCCAGCATTAGTAACAAGAACACTACCACAAGCACTAGAAGCATCATCGTGTCCAGCATTAACAACAAGAACACCACCACAAGCACTAGAAGCATCATCATGTCCAGCATTAACAACAAGAACACCACCACAAGCACTAGAAGCATCATCATGTCCAGCATTAACAACAAGAACACCACCACAAGCACTAGAAGCATCATCATGTCCAGCATTAACAACAAGAACACCACCACAAGCACTAGAAGCATCATCATGTCGAGCATTAACAACAAGAACACCACCACAAGCACTAGAAGCATCATCATGTCCAGCATTAACAACAAGAACACCACCACAAGCACTAGAAGCATCATGTGTCACAGCCAGCAGTAGCATCAAGAACACCACAAGCACTAGAAGCATCGTCATGTCCAGCATTAACAACAAGAACACCACCACAAGCACTAGAAGCATCATCATGTCCAGCATTAACAACAAGAACACCACCACAAGCACTAGAAGCATCATCGTAATCTGCAGTAACAAGAACACTACCACAAGCACTAGAAGCATCATCGTGTCCAGCAGTAGCATCAAGAACACTACCACAAGCACTAGAAGCATCGTCATGTCCAGCATTAACAACAAGAACACCACCACAAGCACTAGAAGCATCATCATGTCCAGCATTAACAACAATAACACCACCACAAGCACTAGAAGCATCATCATGTCCAGCATTAACAACAAGAACACCACCACAAGCACTAGAAGCATCATCATGTGCAGCATTAACAACAAGAACACTACCACAAGCACTAGAAGCATCATCATGTCCAGCATTAACAACAAGAACACCACCACAAGCACTAGAAGCATCATCATGTCCAGCAGTAACAACAAGAACACCACCTTAAGCACTAGAAGCATCATCATGTCCAGCAGCATTAACAACAAGAACACCACCACAAGCACTAGAAGCATCATCATGTGCAGCATTAACAACAAGAACACTACCACAAGCACTAGAAGCATCATCATGTCCAGCAGTAGCATCAAGAACACTACCACAAGCACTAGAAGCATCGTCATGTCCAGCATTAACAACAAGAAACCACCACCACAAGCATCTAAGAAGCATCATCATGTCCAGCATTAACAACAATAACACCACCACAAGCACTAGAAGCATCATCATGTCCAGCATTAACAACAAGAACACCACCACAAGCACTAGAAGCATCATCATGTGCAGCATTAACAACAAGAACACCACCACAAGCACTAGAAGCATCATCATGTGCAGCATTAACAACAAGAACACCACCACAAGCACTAGAAGCATCATCATGTCCAGCAGTAACAACAAGAACACCACCTTAAGCACTAGAAGCATCATCATGTCCAGCATTAACAACAAGAACACCACCACAAGCACTAGAAGCATCATCATGTGCAGTATTAACAACAAGAACACCACCACAAGCACTAGAAGCATCATCATGTCCAGCAGTAACAACAAGAACACCACCTTAAGCACTAGAAGCATCATCATGTGCAGTATTAACAACAGGAACACCACCTTATGCACTAGAGGCATCATCGTAATCTGCAGTAACAACAAGAACACCACCACAAGGACTAGAAACATCATCGTAAGCAGCAGCAAGAACAGGAACACAACCACAAGGACTAGAAACAAACACGACAATGGCAGCAGTACCAACAAACACGACAATGGCAGCAGTACCAACAAACACGACAATGGCAGCAGTACCAACAAACACGACAATGGCAGCAGTAACAACAAACACGACAATGGCAGCAGTACCAACAAACACGACAATGGCAGCAGTACCAACAAACACGACAATGGCAGCAGTACCAACAAACACGACAATGGCAGCAGTACCAACAAACACGACAATGGCAGCAGTACCAACAAACACGACAATGGCAGCAGTAACAACAAACACGACAATGGCAGCAGTACCAACAAACACGACAATGGCAGCAGTAACAACAAACACGACAATGGCAGCAGTACCAACAAACACGACAATGGCAGCAGCCACCGATGTATTGTTAGGGATTGATGGTTCAGGTTTGTGACAGATTCGAGGCAGCACGAACAGGTGAGAAGGGACAGAACTCGTGCAGCCTTAATTGAACAGGTGACTCAATTCTTCCTACCTCGGCTATCAATTTAGTCCTGACCATACACAGATATACTAGGAATTTATACTAGACACCAGACATACTAAACACAGATATACTAGGCATCTATACTAGACACCAGACATACCAGACACAGATATACTAGGCATCTATACTAGACACCAGACATACCAGACACAGATATACTAGGCACTTATACTAGATACCAGACATACCAGACACAGAAATACTAGGCATCTTTACTAGATACCAGACATACCAGACACAGACATACTAGGCATTTATACTAGATACCAGACATACCAGACACAGACATACTAAGCACTTATGCTAGATACCAGACATACCAGACACAGATATACTAGGCATTTATACTAGATACCAGACATACCAGACACAGACATATTAGGCATTTATACTTGACACCAGACATACCAGACACAGACATACTAGGCATTTATACTAGATACCAGACATACCAGACACAGACATACTAGGCATTTATACTAGATACCAGACATACCAGACATACCAGACACAGACATACTATGCAATTATACTAGATCCAAGACATACCAGACACAGACATACTAGGCACTTATACTAGATACCAGACATACCAGACACTGACATACTAGGCATTTATACTAGATACCAGACATACCAGAAACAGATATACTAGGCATTTAAACTAGATACCAGACATACCAGACACCGATATACTAGGCATCTATACTAGATACCAGACATACCAGACACAGATATACTAGGTATCTATACTAGATACCAGACATACCAGACACAGATATACTAGGCATCTATACTAGATACCAGACATACCAGACACCGATATACTTGGCATTTATACTAGATACCAGACATACCAGACACAGATATACTAGGCATTTATACCAGACACCAGACATACCAGACACAGTTATACTAGGCATTGATATTAGATACCAGACATACCAGACACAGACATACTAGGCATTTATACTAGATACCAGACATACCAGACACAGACATACTAGGCATTTATACTAGACACCAGACATACCAAACACAAACATACGCTTCAGGGCCCCGTTTTACAAAGCTCTCGTTAGCCTTATATCTCGTAACTTTTCTCGAAGCATTCGTACCTCCTATACTGTAACATACGAAGTAGGAATGATACGAGAAAAATTACGAGATCTTATGCCTACGAGAGCTTTGTGAAAAGGGGCCGCTGGCCTCTATACCAACAACTTACAGTGTATGGTAAACACCAGATACAGAAAACACTTCAGGGATCTATACCAACAACGTACACTTTGTGGTTCACTCCAGATACAGACAGACACTTCAGGCATCTATATCAACAACGTACACTTTGTGGTCCACACCAGATACAGACAGACACTTCAGGCATCTATACCAACAAGGTACACTGTGTGGACCACACCAGATACAGACAGACGCTTCAGGCATCTATACCAACAAAGTACACTGTGTGGTCCATACCAGATACAGAGAGACACTTCAGGAATGTAAACCAACTTCAGGAATGTAAACCAACAACATACAGTGTATGGTCCACACCAGATACAGACAGACGCTTCAGGAATCTATACCAACAACGTACACTGTGTGGTCCACTCCAGATACAGACAGACGCTTCAGGCATCTATACCAACAACGTACACTGTGTGGTCCACACCAGATACAGACAGACGCTTCAGGCATCTATACCAACAACGTACAACACCGATACAGACACGCTTCAGGCATCTATATCAACACGTACACTGTGTGGTCCACACCAGATACAGACAGACGCTTCAGGCATCTATACCAACAACGTACACTGTGTGGTCCACACCAGATACAGACAGACACTTCAGGCATCTATACCAACACCGTACACTGTGTGGTCCACACCAGATACAGACACGCTAGACACTTCAGGTAACAACGTACACACCAGATACAGACAGACACTTCAGACATCTATACCAACACCGTACAGTGTATCGTCCTCACCAGATACAGACACACGCTTCAGGAATCTATACCAATAACGTACACTGTGTGGTCCACACCAGATACAGACAGACACTTGAGCCATGTATACCAACAACATATAGTGTATGGTCCACACCAGATACAGACAGACACTTCAGGAATCTATTCCAACAACGTACACTGTGTGGTCCACACCAGATACAGACAGAAGCTTCAGGCATCTATACCAACAACGTACACTTTGTGGTCCACACCAGATACAGACAGACCCTTCACATCTATACCAACAACGTACACTGTGTGGTCCACACCAGATACAGACAGACGCTTCAGGCATCTATACCAACAACGTACACTGTGTGGTCCACACCAGATACAGACAGACGCTTCAGGCATCTATACCAACAACGTACACTGTGGTCCACACCAGATACAGACAGACGCTTCAGGCATCTATATCAACAACGTACACTGTGTGGTCCACACCAGATACAGACAGACGCTTCAGGCATCTATATCAACAACGTACACTGTGTGGTCCACTCCAGATACAGACAGACGCTTCAGACATCTATATCAACAACGTACACTGTGTGGTCCACACCAGATACAGACAGACACTTCAGGCATCTATACCAACAACGTACACTGTGTGGTCCACACCAGATACAGACAGACGCTTCAGGCATCTATATCAACAACGTACACTGTGTGGTCCACTCCAGATACAGACAGACGCTTCAGACATCTATACCAACAACGTACACTGTGTGGTCCACTCCAGATACAGACAGACGCTTCAGGCATCTATATCAACAACGTACACTTTGTGGTCCACTCCAGATACAGACAGACGCTTCAGGCATCTATATCAACAACGTACACTGTGTGGTCCACACCAGATACAGACAGACGCTTCAGGCATCTATATCAACAACGTACACTGTGTGGTCCACACCAGATACAGACAGACGCTTCAGGCATCTATACCAACAACGTACACTTTGTGGTCCACACCAGATACAGACAGACGCTTCAGGCATCTATACCAACAACGTACACTTTGTGGTCCACTCCAGATACAGACAGACGCTTCAGGCATCTATATCAACAACGTACACTTTGTGGTCCACTCCAGATACAGACAGACGCTTCAGGCATCTATACCAACAACGTACACTTTGTGGTCCACACCAGATACAGACAGACGCTTCAGGCATCTATATCAACAACGTACACTTTGTGGTCCACTCCAGATACAGACAGACGCTTCAGGCATCTATATCAACAACGTACACTGTGTGGTCCACTCCAGATACAGACAGACGCTTCAGGCATCTATACCAACAACGTACACTGTGTGGTCCACTCCAGATACAGACAGACACTTCAGGCATCTATATCAACAACGTACACTGTGTGGCCCACACCAGATACAGACAGACGCTTCAGGCATCTATATCAACAACGTACACTGTGTGGTCCACACCAGATACAGACAGACGCTTCAGGCATCTATATCAACACCGTACACTGTGTGGCCCACACCAGATACAGACAGACCCTTCAGGCATCTATACCAACAACGTACACTTTGTGGTCCACACCAGATACAGACAGACAGACCCTTCAGGGATCTATACCAACAACGTACACTGTGTGGTCCACACCAGATACAGACAGACGCTTCAGGCATCTATACCAACAACGTACACTGTGTGGTCCACACCAGATAGACAGACAGACGCTTCAGAATTATCTATACCAACAACGTACAGTGTGTGGTCCACACCAGATACAGACAGACCCTTCAGGCATCTATATCAACAACGTACACTTTGTGGTCCACACCAGATACAGACAGACCCTTCAGGCATCTATACCAACAACGTACACTGTGTGGTCCACACCAGATACAGACAGACGCTTCAGGCATCTATACCAACAACGTACACTGTGTGGTCCACTCCAGATACAGACAGACACTTCAGGAATCTATACCAACACCGTACACTTTGTGGTCCACACCAGATACAGACAGACGCTTCAGGCATCTATATCAACAACGTACACTGTGTGGTCCACACCAGATACAGACAGACGCTTCAGGCATCTATACCAACAACGTACACTGTGTGGTCCACACCAGATACAGACAGACGCTTCAGGCATCTATATCAACAACGTACACTGTGTGGTCCACACCAGATACAGACAGACGCTTCAGGCATCTATATCAACAACGTACACTGTGTGGTCCACTCCAGATACAGACAGACGCTTCAGGCATCTATACCAACAACGTACACTTTGTGGTCCACTCCAGATACAGACAGACGCTTCAGGCATCTATACCAACAACGTACACAGTGTGGTCCACACCAGATACAGACAGACGCTTCAGGCATCTATATCAACAACGTACACTATGTGGTCCACACCAGATACAGAGACAGACGCGCTTCAGGCATCTATACCAACAACGTACACTGTGTGGTCCACACCAGATACAGACAGACGCTTCAGGCATCTATATCAACAACGTACACTGTGTGGTCCACTCCAGATACAGACAGACGCTTCAGGCATCTATATCAACAACGTACACTGTGTGGTCCACTCCAGATACAGACAGACGCTTCAGGCATCTATACCAACAACGTACACTGTGTGGTCCACTCCAGATACAGACAGACGCTTCAGGCATCTATACCAACAACGTACACTGTGTGGTCCACTCCAGATACAGACAGACGCTTCAGGCATCTATACCAACACCGTACACTGTGTGGTCCACACCAGATACAGACAGACGCTTCAGGCATCTATACCAACACCGTACACTGTGTGGTCCACACCAGATACAGACAGATGCTTCAGGCATCTATACCAACACCGTACACTGTGTGGT